TCCCTCCCTCCACCCCTTTGTAAATTGTTGTACTACTAGTAGCGAGTCACAGCATGTCTCTACTTTATGCTCCATCCAAAGGAAAGCCACAAAGGAATAGGACCCACACATGACCCCTCACCACGTGTCCTCCCCCTTGTCACCATCACTCACATGCATCAACCAGGGAAATCACATGTTCCTCTGTCTTGTCCATCTCGATCGTCCCACTTTCTCGCCTCGCTATTTTAATTTTCACGCCTTTTGCCAATTTGGATTTGCCATGCATCTGTTTCTTGTATACACAACAAATATACTTGTAATATTTTTACACTACGTTACCTACAGATACAGTGCTCATACATACATACATTCATAATTAGGTCAAATCCCCATATATATAATATTATCACACACCCTATTACCCTAATCTCACTTAATTACCATGCATGATGCATATGGTCCATTGATGATCAGATTCAGATCAATCTCTCAAAGTTTTATATATAATAATTGCTTGCGGTAATTGTTTCAACATATCTTCACTACCAAGTTAATTAAGAAGAAAGATAAAAGGACTTGTATTATAATATAATTTAGGAAACAATTAAAGCAGCTTTTTTATCATATTTATTATTATTAAATAACAGTAACACATGTTAGGATGAGGAGTTGTGATAGCCTAGTAGGAAAGGAATATTGATTGGATTTGGATGGAGGGAAGAGGGAGGAGGGAGGAGGGAGGAGGGAGGAGGCATGGGGAGGGCGGGGCCTGTCTTATATGCTGTCCATATACATGATATATATGCCGGCAACGATTCCTCACGGTACGGCTGGGACCCACCACAGCTCCTTCCAAGAAGAAGACTTGCAAACCAAAGCAGTACTGCTCTGCTACTACTTGTAGTCTCTAGCTATTTGTCTAGCAATAACAAGAAAGAGGAGGAAGATGAAGAAGAGCAAGGGCTGTGGTTTTCTGTGGGCCCGTTGGTGGGCCTGTTTCCCTGTGGAGTTCGTCAACTTCATCACTTTCATGTCACCCCACCGCCGTAGGCCACCGGCAATCCCCACAAACCGCAAAAATTCCTTCTTTAAAGATAGACATGACCCACCACAATTCATTAATTTGTTCTCTCTCTCCGTCTATTTTTGCTACAATCATGCTCCTTATTTTTAAGTTAAAATTTAACTAAAAACACAAAAAAATTATTTTAGAGAGTCATAAATACTATAATTATTTTTTAATTCAATACGATTGGTTCATCTCTATAAAAAAAATAAAAAAGGTTAACATTAATTAAAATGTTAAAATATGCATTAAATAAAGCAACATTAAATTATATGGAGCCACTAAGAGTCCTTTCTCTCTCCTCTGTGGATCCTGTTAATAATATGAAATTTCAATTGGCTCCCATGTTTTACCAATTTTTGATTATTATTTTTGTCCATTATAAGAATTAATTGAGAGTTGTTTGGAGTGGTGGAGTGCATTCATACGAACTCAAGAAGATTACGCAGAATTTGGACCCCATAGAGAATTGACATGGAAAATATAATATTAATTTTTCCAGTACATATATAATTGAATATTAATTTTGAGTGAAGAAGAATATTCATTATGAGTCATGACAATCAAAGGAAAATCTTGTTTACTTTTTTAAACACGACTACTGTATATATCACACACTGCTTATGATATTGAAAGCTGGATTTTATATTAATAATTTGGAATGTGGGTTGTTGTCATTTCGTTGATTATTCAGAATTTGGTGTGGACTGTTGTCCTTCTAAGTTCTAACAAATTGTATGATCATGTGAATACAGCAATATATAATATCCTAAATGAAGTTGCTACCGACGCGTATTATTTCTTTAAGAATAACAAAATATATATATATATAAATATTTTAGGTACAGAAGACGTAATCTGCAACTTGCCAAGATGCTAACGTAGAGAATTTGTCTCACGGGACTTTGGTTTGAAAAAGAAAGCCAAACTGTCAAAGCATTTGATTTTAAATTCACCGAGAAAAAGGGTTTTTCTCCTTTATAAAGGAAACTCAAACCGTGTGGAAAATTTTGAAACTAAAATAAGATTGATATACCAAAGTCAGAGTAGAAGTAGAACAAAAGCTGGAACCCATCAGGCAGCCATTGGTATATATATGCCAAACATGGAGCTCATTGGGTAAGTGATCTTCACTGTTGAATTTTCAATGGAATTTTTGTTGTTTTTGATTTTTCTGTGAACTGGAGGCAAAGCCAAAGGAGGAGGACTTAATAATTCCAATTTCCATCCACGTGTTTCTATAAATATGGAATAGAATTCATACAATGACTAACCAATTCGAGATGACATTTATAAAATTATTTAGTTTTGAGACTTCAACTGCGTCTTCTGAGGTTTGATCCATTTGGGGTGATGACTTTAATATGAGACAGAGCCAAACCAAGCCCTGCAGAGGCTGCAACAAAACCCTGGAAATTCAAATACATCACAAGATCAAACCTTAAAATCAGTTCAACCAACGAATAATTGTTAAGTAAAATTCTCTCTCCACCATATACCACCATATGCATAATGCATACGTATATATATACGGTTCTATATCCATAATTGCCCATACCAGACAACGCATCAGCTACATGTATTTTTATTATTATTATGTGTATAATAATTAGGTGGTGACAAATTATCTGCGGCCACTAGTACTAGTCTTTTATTTATTCATGGATGGATGGGGGAGTCCACAAATATATATATAGCTGGATTTAGTGGTTACACAAGAATCAATTTGACCAGAAATGACCTGGGACGATCCCTCCTAACTTGACCAAGAATGGCAAATTTTTTGACCCAAGCAAATCATGTCCCTTCCTTCCAATTTCATGGTGGCCCACCATGTCTAAGAGATGTGGGTCCTACTGTGCGATGCTATGCTATGCATCCTAAAAGGGCCTCTTAAGGACAGCAGCAGCACCCCTCCCCTGACTCACTCCCCCTGAGGAAGTTTGCTTTTTTCTTTCCTTCATCAATTTTTAGGTAATATTGTGTTGGTGGATGTATTCTCCTGGTCCTATGCATGTGTATTGTTCAACATGTACATTATTGCATAAAGGGAATAAAGAGGTTTGATATTATATATTACATGACTAGTCTAGCTAGCAAAGTCATGCACTGAAGTTGACAGAGGAAATAACCGAAGAATTTGGTATAGCTCCACAACCCAACAAAGATTGTCCATTTCCCCCAGAAACATGTTGTCAAGGAAGAAAAAGAAAAAAAGACGGCCACCTTTTGTAGATGGGTAAGGCAACTGAATGAAGCTTCCTCTGCATGCAGGTACCAACAATTCTACTCTCAAATCAAAATGCAAGCGACCAAACTAAGAGAAAAGCGTTCGTTGAAGCATTTCTGCAGCTTTAACCTTTTTCCCCATATTCCCCAATTTCAATTCAAACACATGTACGTAAGTGTGTTAAATTTTGAAACCCAAAAAGAGATGCTAGCTAGCTATATACATGCGTTAATTATGTATGTTTGCTCTTTTTTAAGAAAGGGGGGAAAAGGGCTTTTTATAGAGGCTATGGATAACCAAATCTGTCCTTAAAATATTCAATAAATAACTAGTATAATATTATTAGACTATCGCAAATCAATGAAAAAGAGCCTTAACTTACTTGCACGTCGGTGGAAAATGACCTTAGCTTACTTGCAGATCAGTTAGTGATCTCATATTCGAACCCCCATGACACCGTCGTAGTGTGTGCGAGAAACTTACATCCCCTTATAGTTTATACTATCGCTTGTATTATAAAAAAAAAAATTAATGAGTGGAATATATTTGTTAGAACACAACAAAGTACAGTCACAAGAGTTCCCCTTTTGAGTGGCTGCTTTGCTAGTTTAAGTATATTTCTTCACGTTTTAAGATAGTGGGGGAAGATATTATTCAGTATTATATATTCAATTATTTGCAGAGATAGATCGATCACCTTCCTCTACGGAAGAAATTATTTTCCAGTTGTTTTCAGGGTATAAATTTATAATTGAAATCGGTTGTGACATAGACACATGCAACTTGCAAGTACTTCATTAATCCGTGTGGAATGTCACTTAATAACCAAGAAAATTCCCTAGACTGACCTAGGTCCGTACATCTCTGTAAGAATCCGCCTCATAAAGTGTCCTCTTCCAGCTAAACTTTTACTGCTGCTATAGCCAGATGTAATACTGTGCTTTCTTTTTCCTGAATTTGGCTATAGCTATTCAAATTTCTCTAACAAAGAAAATAGTTCTAACCTAACAAATTTAACAGGACGTTCGCATAATTTTGCACGTTCTTAATTACCCTAAATATTAATAAGAAACAATAATAAGATGAGTCCTGAGTACAAAGCCTGTGGAAGGAATTGATAAAATCTCTTTAAAAACGATGTGGGCATAGGGTTTAGGACATGTATGATTAAAGTATGCTAGCTAGGACACAGATAATATTAATCACGATATAATCATGTTGACCGTCTGATCAACCATATGAAGAAACATGGCATCAATATTGTTGAAAGGTGTCACGCATTTGTATTGCACAGTTACAACGGAGAGAGAGAGAGAGAGAGAGAGAGAGAGAGAGAGAGAGAGAGAGAGAGAGAGAGCATATCTGATGGGCGCAGAGTGACGAAAGGGAGGGTTGTCTGGATGCGAAGGTAGAAGATACGAAATAAGAGAAGGAGAGAGATGGGGAGAGGGTAAGACCTACACCCTACACTCTTCACCCTTCAGCCTTGAGAGTGAGCAAAGCTGGCCCCACTTACAATCGCCGCATAACGACACACATTAGGCTGCGTGAGCTGCATGAACAGCGACCCCAGCTTCCCTCCTCTATCTCTCTCTCTCTCTCTCTATTCGATATTTTTCTTTTCTTTTTTAATATCTGTAATTATTTTAATTTACAGTGAGAAAAGGACGAGCAAAATCAAAACACAAAAAACAAGGGGGAGAGAGAGAGAGAGAGAGAGAGAGAGAGAGATGCGTAGCTAGTTATCTAGGACATGTATGTATGTGTGTTGTGTATGTACATGACATGAAATGATTGAGAGAGGAACAATAAGAGCGTTTTAGCAGATCCGTTTTTATTCATTTTAAAAACAAGATAGATTGATACATAGATAGCTAAGAGAGCAAGAAGAAGCTGGCCTGCACATATATTCCGGATTGACTCTGGTTCTTCTCTCTATCTTCATCATTTCCGGATTTTAGCTGTCGCCCCTCCCTTTCCCCGCACCCGCAGATACTTATTAATTTCTTTCCTCCCTTGATTTGTATTTGTGGGTCGTATTTCTCAAGCTACCTACCTGCCTATCAATTAAGGGACCTTCGACTCACAACTTTTATTTTACTTAGCTTGCTAGGTTTGTATGTCTAGAGTGTTCTGCTTATATTGTAGCTATCACTTCACAAATTTTCTTTGAGTTGCTCGAAACAAGATCGGTGTTGAATTAAGAATATTACTTGTTTTCTTCACCGCATATACATGGCGGCTGCTTCTTCGTCAATACCGTTTTTCGGAAGCACTAGTAGCAGAGAAGAAACCCAAAGCCAGATGACGTCCACGCTACAACAGCATTCCTCCGCAACGCCTTCCTCTAATACTACAGCCGCAGCCGCAGCCCCACCCCCTCAAAAGAAAAGGAGAAATCAACCTGGAAATCCAAGTAAGTATCTCTTTATATAATTACATCAGTTCTTTTGTATCTTTTTTTTTTTTATCAGTTGACAAATTTCAGAAAAGAAACCCTAAATTTATGTACTGATTCTTTGGTGTGATGAAATGGATTTGCGTTTCCTCCGTTTGGCTCTTAATTATTAATTTTTGTCCTTAGAAATCATTGTCTTCCAACTCTTTTCTTTCCGTAATTCTGGTGTTGAATCGAAACAAGTTAAAAGAAAAATTGTTAATTTGGTTTTGGCATTAATTTTGATAACAGATCCAGATGCAGAGGTCATCGCACTATCTCCCAAGACGCTCATGGCAACAAACAGGTTCATATGTGAGGTGTGCAACAAAGGGTTCCAAAGGGAGCAAAACCTTCAGCTTCACAGAAGAGGACACAATCTGCCTTGGAAGCTCAAGCAGAAGACTACAAAAGAACCCAGACGCAAGGTCTACCTGTGCCCCGAGCCCACATGCGTCCACCATGACCCCTCTCGAGCTCTGGGCGACCTCACCGGCATCAAAAAACACTTCTCTAGAAAACATGGCGAGAAGAAATGGAAGTGCGAGAAGTGCTCCAAGAGGTACGCCGTGCAATCGGATTGGAAGGCCCATTCTAAGACTTGCGGCACTAGGGAATACAGATGCGATTGTGGCACTCTCTTCTCAAGGTATTTTCATTCATTCATTCATCCATTAATTCGTTCCTTAATTTGAGATATGTTCTCAAAAATTGAAAAAATTAAATAAAAGGAAAATGATGAAGTTAAACAAATTAACTTTTTCTTTTTTGGGTCTTTCTGCGAGAGAGTGAGTGTGTCTGTGTCTGGGTTAATATGGAAGCACTGTTTACACGTGAGTAATCTGTGTGAAACTGGCAATGTCTACTCTACCATATATATATACGGGTTTCAAAATGAAAATCAAATTTTATGAGAGAGAGAGAGGAAAAACAAGAAATTTAGCTTATCTTGATTATGTATGAATGGATCCTCGAAAACAACGCCTTCGGGTGGCCTTGGCACCATATATATATATATGTTTTGCCCCACTCACGTGTGGAGATACAGTAACAGTGAGTCTGATTATACATACACAAGATACATATGAAAGGGGAGGGAAGGATAATATTAATGGTTACTACTGGACTAGGGGAGCTAGAGCTTGCTTTAGCTTTCTTGTCTTATAATGATTTGGAGATATATATATGTCACTCATGAGTTTTTGTTCTCTTCTGGGTTGGCTTCATCTATTCAGATAAGAGCTACAGCTCTGCTCTGCTCTTCTCCTCCTGGTACTCCTTCCCATGAAATTAAAACGTATACTCTCATCTCTCATGGGACCAAGGAAGCTCTCTCTCTCTCTCTCTCTCTCTCTGGGTACTGGTCCAACACCACATTTTTCTACCTAGGAAAAAGCTTGACAGTTTTTGAAAATTTAGAAGTCAGAGTGGTAGAGTGTTCAATGATTAGGGGGATGAGGTTTGTGAATTTGGGTCTGTCCATCGTGGTTATGGAAATATTCTCTGAGGAAATTAATAAAACAAATGACCGTTCAAGGGTTTCGCATTAATTGGAGGAGAAAAAAAAATTAAACTAACAGTGTGTACTTCTTTCCTATTTCTTGATTGAAGAGAGAAACCATTATGACTAATTGGAATCTAATTGGTTTTCCCTTTTGGGTTCTAGTGAAATTTTGTTTGCTCTTTTCCTTTCTTTATAAGCAAAATTAAGTATTACATTACATGCAGCGTTTACGGTCTCATCAATTATTTTCATGTACGTAGTAGTTTAGGATTTTATTTTTTTGGTACTATTAATCTCGTGTGTAAGCATTGTTTTGTTTTCATGGGGGGGAGATCAATGTGTTTCTTAATAACTGTTTCAATTAAGTTGACTTTCCAACACACTAGGTTGAAAAAGAGACATATAATCTAGAAACAGCAGTTAAAATTAAAATTTATAAATAAATAAAAAAACAGAAATTCAACTCAGGGGTAAATCTTTTTGCCGTTTATGCATACATCACAATTTTAACTAAAACGGGTAAGAATGATTATTATTCTTCAAGTATTGTTTTTATCCCCACATATATGATGTCTTGTTCTTCCCTTGTAAACATCTTACTTCATATATATGTACACACATGAGATGAGGATGATGCACTGGCTCAGCCTTTCTTTTTATTTCTTTGTGATATATAGGCGCGACAGCTTTATCACGCATAGGGCATTCTGCGATGCACTTGCTCAGGAGAGTGCAAGGCATCCTTCAAGCTTAAACACCATGGGTGGTCAACTATATGGACACAACCACATGAGCTTAGGCCTATCCCAAATTCCCTCACTTCAAAATCAGACCCACCTGCCCAACAACATGTTGAGGTTAGGAAATGCTGGGGGTGCAAAATTTGAGCATCTAATCACCCCATCAAATCCTTCTTCCTTCGGATCACAAGCCATGCCTAATTCCTCCAATTTCTTCATGAGGGATATTGCTAACCAGCAAGGCTTTCAGGATCAGCACCAATTTCCCAGCAAGGCAGCATTGCATGGGCTAATGCAACTCCCTGATCTCCAAAGCAACGGTAACAACAACAACTCACCCTCATCAACTAGTGCTGCAAATCTCTTCAACCTGAGCTTCTTTTCTAACAACAGTACCAGCAGCAGCTTGACTCCACCTGATCATCAGTTTAGTGATGGCAATGGCGGTGGCCAAGGGTTTAGCATGGGTGCTGCTGATCATCACAATATGGGGTCGGCTACTCTACCATCTCTCTATGGGAATTCCATGCAACATGAAAGCAACATTGCTCCACATATGTCTGCCACTGCTTTGCTTCAGAAAGCTGCCCAAATGGGTTCAACTACAAGCACCGAAAGCTCGTCTCTGCTACGAGGGTTAGGCAATTCATCAACAAGAGCAGCTAAATCCGGTAGGCAACTAGTTTCGGCACCCTCTACCGTTGGTGTCAGTTTTAGTGGCGATCATCACAGTAGTGGTGGCGAACAGCAACACTTAAGATCATCACAGCAGGTGGACAATGAAAACCATCTTCAAGGTTTGATGAACTCTCTTGCCAATGGGGGCTCTTCTGTTTTTGGAGGTGGAGGAGTGCATGGGCAGGATCATAACAGCTTTGGTGGGTTTAGTAGTGGCAGTACTGGTACTAGGGTTAATGCAATGGATCAACAGCATAATAACACAAATTATGATGAGGCTAAGTTGCATCAAAATTTGGGTGTAAATTTTGGAGGGTCTGATAAATTGACCTTGGATTTTCTGGGAGTTGGAGGGATGGTACGAAACATGAGTGGTGGCCATGGATACTCACAGCGAGATCATCATCAGCAACATCATGGCATAAATATGATTGGCACTTTAGACCCAGAGTTGAAGTCAGCGCAGGCAAGTCAACCCTTTGGAGGCACTGCACTGCAATGAGCGTGCGTACAGTTGTGATGATGAGGTGAAAGCTAGCTAGATCGAAGGATTCCAATTAAGTTCATATAGATGAGAGTTCCTGTTTAATATATGTATGGAAAAAAGGACGTTTAATTATGAACTAGTTGTCTTGACCCCCACGCATTAGGGTTTCATTGATTTAATTTCTACATGTGCATGCCTTAAGGCTTACACTAATTGATATATCCAGTACTTTCAGCTCTTTATATATCTCCCTGTACCAGTAACACATGTGTGGTATATCTTTCTTGCGTTGCGTAGATATTTGAAGATAAAGGATAAATAGCATCTCTCTCTCTCTCTCTCTCTCTCTCTCTCTCCAGATGGTACTTAATTTTGAAAAAATCAAATGAAAAATATCTAAATTAAATATTAGTAATGAGATCGATGTCCCATAATTAAACTTTGAATTAACTAATGTGTGAGGTAAGCCATGTTGAGTATACATATATATATATATATATATATATATATATATGTATACAGAATCAGAATGTCACAGCAGCAGACATGGGCGCTAGCAGCTGAGCCAGTACTGTTTGTGCAGAATCTTAAAAATGGATACATTCCAACATAATGGACAAGTGAGAATTTATTTTCTTATTTGTCTGGTTACGAGATATCCGTAATCAATAATTTAATATTGCCATGCATCAAGAACAAAGAAATCATATCAACTATTTTAATTCATAAGCACGAGAGAGAGAGAGAGAGAGAGAGAGGGTCCGGCCGGGGGACGAATTATCTACGCCCAACCCCGAACTCAGAACCCCACACATAAAAATAAGCACAAGAATTTGTTCGGCTACCTAATACCTAACCCTACTAGCCACTGCTAAAACTAAGTACAAAACAATGCTTGGTTTGACAATATTTAATTGGTTTAATGAATTAATGAATTAATTGTCCTGCCCTCCCTGGCGCTTTCCAACAATTCTTTTTCATTCTAATTCCTTACCAAGGTCCACGGTCACATTTAATATTCAACTTTCTTCACTGATGCTACTGATGATATAGATAGATATTTTACTTTAGACTGGATTAATTTATAATTTTAATTTAGAGGAGCATCATTTGCTTAATGCATGTGTATTGCCATTGGGTTTAGGGCCGGACTGAAGAGTACTGCTGGCCATAACCAATTGGGTTTAGCATATATATATCCACTCCCATTTTGTCTACTTACATTTTCTTTGATTTTTTAAAACTTTTTTTTATAACAAAAAATAGAGTGTAAGTGGATAAAAGATGAGTGAGAACGTACAATTTCCAACAAAGAGAGTATAAGTAGACAAAAGAGGAATCGAAAAATCAGCTCCCTATACATATACTACTATCTACTAGCTAGGGCAAAACAGAAAATGATATATAAGAAATATTCAAGTGTAGTATATAGCTGCCGTTAACCTCAGCGTAATTATTAGGAAATTGATCGATGATGATGGGGCTGTCTACTATTGTCGTAATTGTTGTCTCTTCTATCTTCAAAAGGAATCGTACACATCAGCCCGTGACTCCAACAGTGGATGGTATTTTTGTTTTCTTTTCTTCACTTCAAAATTTGAATTTCAGTCCTATTTTAACCAAACACAATTGTGTTTTGAGAAAAGAAGAAAAAAAATTGGTTCATCAATTTTCATTAAATTATTTAACAAAAGGATGAATTGAACCCTGAAAATGGTAGCTAGCAAAAGGAAAAATAATAATAATAATAATATGTGTATAGGGAAGCATGAAATAAAAATAAAAAGCGAAGAGAAGTCTGTCTTGTACGATCTCTCCAAAACCCTCAATTCCAAATGGTGGCCCTTTGATGGATAGAAAGACGTGGGACCCTAGGCCATACGTTGTAGACATCCTACCCGAAAGCAAAAATAAAAAATAAAAAATAAAAAACCAACTTGTAGACATCAAACTTGAAGAGTACAATCACAGACTCTCGGAAGAGAGACTTTTTTAAAGATAGCTCGTGACTTCTACCTCTCTTGTTTGTTTTACGCCAAACAGGCCAACAGTAATCCTTTTATAAATAAATGAAATGAAATGTAAGAATTTCCATGGGATTACTTGAAAAAAAAAAGAAAGTAAATTTGAACATTCATCATAATCATATGAGAGGTAGAAATCAAGGGAGAAATTATTATTCCCGGCCCTTTCCCAACTTTGGAATGGAAAGAACCTATATATATATACACACTTGAAAGAGTCAACCTAATGAGAATGGCATAAGACGAGGTGTCAACAAAGTTCCGTGGAATATGTGCGTGTTGTAAATAAATTCCAAAGTCGTAGTAGAATACAAAAAGAAATAATACAATCTTGTCTCTATATTTCTTTTGACCCGTACGTTGAGGCCTTGAGAGGGTGGGGTTTAGGCTTTTTATTAAACCTCTTTCTAATAGTATGGTCTGGTGTGCTGGTTTGGGAATCTTCCCTTCAAATATGGTGATTTTTGAGATGAGACATTAGTTGAAGGTATGAATTTCTGAGCTGCTGGGAATCTTCTCTCTCTCTCTCTCTCTCTCTCTCTCTCTCTCTCTCTCTCTCTCTCTCTCTCCAGATATAAGTATATATATACGTAGTACGTCTATTATATATGAAGTAACATATTAAATGGCATTTTGCGTTAGTACTAAATGCCCACACATTCACTCTTTATGTACATATATATATATAGTTGGTGGTATCTAATAATCTGCACAAATAATTAAGAGGGTAAACGTTATCTATAACTAATCTATATGTATATTTATGACAAATATGGGCTTAGCCAAGTTGGCTAGAACGGATGTGCTCCTCACTCTGCATCAAAGTTCGAATTTCCCTCATCGTAGTTTAGATTAGATTAAAGTAAAATATTGTTTATATATAAAAAAATCTATATGTATAATGTTTCTTCCTAACGATCTGTACGTAACACGTCCAACCCATCACAATCTATATGTATACCCATCACAAGTCACACGTCCAACCCACTAATATGAACAATATGTTGATCTTTGGTTACTACCAAAGGCAATGTTCTAAGACTTTTCCAGCTACTCATCTACTCTCTCTCACACTCTAAGAGGCACGAAAATTACGAACAATATTATTGTCGTCTTTTCAGTTTAACTTGTGCAGTAATAATGTTGGCCAAGGCAAATGCACAATATTATTGTCGTCTTTTTAATACGATCATGCATAGTGTCCATGGCATGCAACTAATGGCCAGTTCATGAGGGGAAACTTAATCCCTATTCATGGTATGGAAATTACTCCTTAGCAAATGATAAAAATATATTTTATTTTGAAAAAAAAAAAACAATAAAGGAGGAGTGCATACTAATTATTTTGAAGTGCCAAACTAATCATCTTCTGGATAATTTATGAGTAATTAATTCCATCCAATGACATATATAATGTTCCAATGTGTTATCCTTCTAAGTTTTTCTTTTCCTTTTTTATTCATCCTTGTAACTTACTTGGTAATGGCTCTTTGAAACTTTAATTATGGCACGGTTGCATGCATGTGTGGTCAAAATAATTACGAAAGTTCCAATGGATTTCCATAAAACAGAGAATAACTGTCCACTACTAGTCATTTAATTTAAACTAGGAAAAAGTTGTAGCCTTGATTGACTTTGAAAATTAAACCCCCGGCCTCCCAAAACACCTTTTGAGGTCTCAACCAAAAACGAAAAAACAAAAACGGAAAATATACAGGTTGAAGAAACCTTAATTAATCTGCACTAATTCTCTTGGTGTGACATTGCGAAAACTTCATGGCGTTCAGGATTTGCTTAGCCAGAACTTGATGCATAAATTATGGTACGAGGGAAAACGGGCTTTTGATCCAAAAAAAGTTGAACTCCCTGCAAACAAACCCAAAATTAAGTCATTTTTCCAAGAAAACATTCAACGGATACGCGAGAAAGAAGTCAATCTCATCATAACATAAAAGATGTAAAAGATGTTGGGAACAAAAAGTAAAAGTATAAAAAGATGTAAAAAGGTGGAATATAATGAAATGGTTAAAGTAAATAAATAATTCATGCATGTGAGTGTGTGTGTGTAATGCAATCCAAGACAAGTTGGAAATGCATCTTTTATTGAGAGAAGATATTTATCTCATCAGACTCACTCACTTTACAAGTCCAGCAGCACTCGTGACTCTGCCAGCCAAAATAAAAGTTAAGAAAGTATCATGTTTATATAAAAACAAAAAGACAAGACACCCAATTGTACTCCAGGTCATCGATCATGACTGCCTCAATTTTGTGTAACCATGCAACACATTGTGTCAGGATTTCCTTTTCTAATTGTTTTTGTTTTTTCAACCCAAAAGAAAAGAAAAGAAAAGTACTAAAAGCCAGTGAACTTAGGACACATTTACCAAAGAAAACTAACTCCTTTAATCATATAATCATTTTTAATCTACAAAAGTCGTCACTAATTTTCACGTACCTCTCTCATCTCTGTACTTTTTCCAGCTCATGTTGTTCTCACTGAAAATTCCCCCCTCCTCCAAAAGATTGGCTTGACGGCGCAGCTGCAGCTGCAGCATTGCTTTCTGAATCCAATGAGCTCATGTCCATTCCATGCTGCTGTTCACTATGGTGCTCTAATCTCTGATGAGAAAACCCTCCGCTTATGCTCCTCACCACCTGTCCAACCCCAAGAAAGTCCCTTGTTAACCTATCAGCCCCTCCAATATTGCTCACCCCCAGACTGTTCTGCTGCTGCAACTTTGTCTCTTCCATGTTAATAGCCCTATTTGCTGCTGCAGCATCGTAGCCACCAAACGACGCATTTGCAAAAATGGATGAGCCACCAGTGTTAGCAAACGAGTTCATTAGGTCTTGCAGGTGGCTCTGGTCTTGTTGATCAGTTCCGAACATGCCACCTAAGCTAGAAGGAACCAGCGACCCGGGCCTGTCGGATTTAGCAGTGGCTGAGGAGGAGCTGCCGAAGCTCCGAAGCAGCGAGGCAGTGGTGTTGTTGCTTGAATTGGTGGAGCCCATTTGAGCAGCTTTCTGTAGCAGTGCGGTTGCTGACATGTGCGCCATAGATGCATGCTGCTGCTGATTATTATTATTATTATTATTACTATTAGTGCTGTAAAGAGAAGGTATCCCGGAGCTAATATGATCACCTCCCACTATG